GAGAGGGGTGTAGACTAGAACTAAATACGGCCCGGTCTATCAATCAATGTTGTCTGCTTGGACTATGCGGAGAGCACCAAGCGAGCACTCAGCATCGTCGATACCTAAGCGCAACGTTCTAAGAAGAATGTTGGATCAGGACCCCTCTTCCGCCTCTAGCATTCCTCGGTGGAGCAATGCAAATGTTAGAGCCAATCACGGGTAGTGGACATAAGCACGAGTCGCGAAAGACTCGTCATGACATGGCGTGCTTCTGCACGGAGTTGACGAGTCCTTGACAAGGCCAAAACTCCCCCGGCGTAGGTTTGAAAAAAATCGTAAACCTCGCAAAAATAATTTGTCGCCGATGCCACATTTACGATGACCGAATCTACAATCGTCCACCCTATGTTGGTACCGGGACTTGTTCACCGTGGACTCCGCTGGAGCGACTTCGGTTGTAGGATACCTAATGCAGTGGACGACCCAAGAACCGGTATGATCATCGCCAAACAATGGAATTGGGGGTGCATCTAAACATACCTTTGGGCGGCGGATTGAACAACTCGCATTCATCTTCTTGATTTTTTTTTTCTGGTTGAGAACAGACAAATCGAGGAAGCTCGGGGAGAGTAAGAATCGACAAAGCGTCCATCTCCTTCGTGAATTCCGGTAATACTGCCTTCGAAAGCGCAAGTGTGCGTACGTTTGAGGTTTGACGCTTGATTGCTCCACAACCAAGAGGGTGCCGACGCTGAAATAGTTGGAGCAGTATCTCGGCGAGAGATTGCCTTCTCAGGTCGGACGTGTTTATTTCGCACCCTCTTGGTTGCGGAACAATCGGTTGTTTAGCCTCCATCGCTCACCAACGCATTGGCCTGCGCTATTACGGTATCCAGCAAAGCTTCGCTTCCGACCCTTCATTCCACAAAGGTACGGAACAACTCTTAACCGATCCTTTCAAGCAATCTTGTACCAGTTTTCGCGGGTCGCATTCATGGGGAACCATGGGAACAAACGCTGGTGGTTTGGAAAACCCCGTTGACACGAGCAGTATTTAAATTTTCTTCGACTTGTTTTGTTGCGTTTGCTGAACAAGCTACGTAATATCGGACATCCTGCCATGATCTTGATTGAAGGAAGACTGCCGGGTTGCTTTCAGCGATAGACTAGTTGGCCAGGTCGCCGTACAGTTGTTTTTCGTCGGCATTCTCGGCTGCGTTGGCCTTGTGCTAGGCCCAATCGTTGTTTCTCCCTGTTTCGGGGCAGCATTTCTTGCCCCAATGGTGATTTCCCGAAGCCGTTCTGTGGTGTGTTTCCTGGAGATGGGGGGACTCTATCCTTACCTGGAGGCTATAATGTGCCAGGGTTGTTGAACACGCACGTGCTTGTGACGCTGGACATTTGTATCTCGCTATCTATCTCCAACAAATGACATTTGGAGGTCTCTGATTCGTCGAGCTTCTTTTTCGCCCCTTTTTATCACTACCACGTGGGCAATGAAACAAGTCACGATCGCGCAGCGATGCCACCCTGCTCCCCTGTTCATGGTGGTCCCCACCGTATCAATTTCGTGGTCATTTTCGAATGTTGGTGTCGTTTCGCTTGGAATTCGTCGGAGAAAGAACTTGGGTACATGCCCTCAATCAGCTCGGTAGTACAGTACATAGCTCTAAGCAAGTGTGACGCCGCCACAACCGTTAAGAGTAATGCAATGAGCACATGACGGACACAGATTCCCGGCATCAAGTGCAGATGAACACGCACTTCCTTTCTGCCGATCCCCGCAGCGGCAGCAACAACAGCAAATATTCACGCCGACTTTCCCTCGTCATTTTTTCCCTTATCACTTCCTTCTTCACACCTTCCTGCAAAATATTCGCAAGCGCCAGCGACCTCTTGGTCTGAAACACGGTATTTACATTCCGCACCGTCAAAACGTCTTCAAAGAAAATTGTGGCAAGCACCGCAGGGGGTCGAGGTCCTGCTGTAGCTATCAATGACATTCAAACACACATACATTCTGGTACGCATTTTCCTACTAAGGACTGACGTGTTTTCATGAGCCATCCGGCTAGGGCAGTCGATACTAATGTTAAAAAAGACGCACCCACGTGCGTTCACCTCTCTCTCTCCTAAGCCACGCGTCAATCATGTACCGAATGGTGTTGACTGGCTACACACAGCACTCCGATAAAACGAACTCAAACACACGAATTCAAATTGCAAGGCGTGCTGGCCAATTATTTTCGCGCTGCTCCTGTGGTCTCCTGTGGTCTCAACCATCAAGCATATGGCACGCAAAACAACGCGGTCTATCTGTACCAATCAACTGACAACCCCACAAAAACAAAAAATGCCCAGTACGGACCCGAATCCCCTCGACCGCGCACGCACACAACACGCCTCCACCTCTCTCCAACCATTCCGTACCCATCCCACAAGTCCACGCAATTTTCACTAGCATCAAATTCCAACAATCGGCAGGGCACGCTCTCTCTCTCTCTCTCTCTCTCTCTCTCTCTCGTTACCCAGACCACATCCACACGGACAGAAACGCCATGAACATGAACCTGTCATTCCAAAAAACGATGAGCTACTGTAAGTAAAGTGAGCGGCTACGCGGGAGAGGTGAGTGACACCAACATAGGTGCACAAGACCTACGATTTAGATACACAGACTGTTGTTACGTTTCAGCTACCGCGCGGTTCCAATAACATAATGGTGCCCTAATATTGGGGAGGTCAGAGAGGATAAATGCCGGGAAAGCACTCCGCCACTCAGTTGCACTCCGTGGTTCGATGAAAAACGTCTGCAACGAAACATTTGCCGGAGAGAGAAAACCCTCCTGTACGCTACACATATCCGTTGGTGTGCGTAGGATACCTTAAATTTCGCAGCTCGAATATGTACCCCGCCGCGCCAAACGGGGACGGTGTCTAAAACTACGAACCGTCACGTCGTCGAGAGCTTTCCGGAAACACATAACTTAATGTTGGCAGTAAGCATCCTCTTCGTCGTGGAGTAATCTAGCCCTTCAAAAACCCTGTCCACGGGGGAGCGGTGGGTGGTATCGTACGCAGCATACGTACGTACGTACGCGTACATGCACAAACCCCCCTATGCCGCCTTGTCCTTGACGGAGGGGGGGGGTGGTGTCGGTCGCCCGCTCCTTCTTCCTTCCGGAGACGCTCCCTTGCCGTAGGCCAAGTTCTGCTGCTCCTGCACGGCTATGGGGTAGTCGTAACCCACGTGCCCCGTGTGCACGACCTGGTCCATCCGGCGCACGCGCGCGCGCGGAGAGGGGGGGGGGGCGTACTCTGATGTTTTGCATGCCTTAGCGGCTAGACCATTGACCACGCGTCCTCGAGAGGACGGAGCATTGTTCCCACAGGACCGATCATCGATGGCCAATCGTTCCTTCCTACTTTGCCAAAGGTGGCTCAGAAATGTCTTCCCTAGTCTGTCTATCCTACCGATGTCCTTCCCGCCTTTTCAAACCACTTCCTACTCCCCATTGCGGCCCGAAAAAAGAAATACGTGAAGCCGCCAAGACCTTGCCGCTCACGGTTGGGGGGGAATAGAAGAGTTCCACATGTTCCCACTCCATCTCCCTTTTCCGCTTGGAAGGCGATACACAGACGGGATGACTAACATAACGGTGTTTAGTAGAACTCACCTCTCCCCACTCCATCTTCCTCCTCCGCTTGGGGCTGAAGTACCTCCAGAAGCGGCGGGTTTAGTAGCGGGCGGGGGCTTCGGCCTTGAGGGTCTCCGGGGATGGGAGGCTGTGCTCTTGCGCGGTCGCCTTGACCCTCGCTTCCAGCCCCCGGCGCACGTCGCGTAGTTTCTCCACCTATTTCAGGGTCGATGACAAATATTGTGTTGCTTGGGGGAATCGTCGAAAAACAGGCAGTGCTCCGCTAACCGGTGCTGACCAAGACGGTCAAGCGGGCCCTTCGCATGGCGGGCACGGAGGCCGAAGCGCGCCGCATCACCCTATCGGCAGTGCTCCGCACCGACAGAGACGTTCCGGGGTCCTCCACAGGGTTGCCGCAGCAGCAGATGGGCGAGAGGGTGGAGCACACGCTCGACTTCTTGTGCTCCCCTGAAGCGAGCGGCCTCGGACGCAAGAGGCGGATGTGCTTCGGCAGGAAGGTAATCAAGACAATCTTCTGGGCCCACGCGGCGACCATCGCCCGGCATAGGAGGCTTGCCAATGTGGACGCGCTTCCTTAAAGTACGGCGAAGCGGCAGGGGTGCAACACCGGTGGTTTCCTACCCCGCTCCTGGCGTCTCTTCCCCACGGGGACAGGAACAGCGGGAGGCGCTAGGGTTGCACGAGTGACAAGAACGGGGGATTCTACAGGAAAGAACGGCCGGTGGCTCGTGTGAGTGCAGACTAGGCTATTACGTGCGAAATCGTTGGCGTGACCAGCTTTTAGCCGACCTTCCCGGTATTCATCTGCCGGTCTCCGTTCCGGGTACATCGTTTGCCAACCCTCATACACCACATTCGAGGCATGCATACGACGATGGACTCGATGGGAAAACAACTGGCTCTTGACGATGTATCCCACCCGCTTCTTCGCACGTTGGGGCATTGCAGACGACCTTCCGTCCTTCGGTACCCCAGACGACCGTCGAGGCAAGGCCGCTGCCTGGCCTGACGCGGGGCGCACGCGTTGAAGGTGGAGCACCCGCCGAAGAGTTCGTAGGGCGGGTTCTCCATTGGAAAGCGGCCGCTACGTGAGATTAACAACAACCCTCTCCGTGCCAAGAAGCTGCCACACAAACTTGGGAGCTCTGGTTGATCTTTCGATGCCGGTGTTGCTGAGCGAGGTAGACAAATTTGGCGCCACCTTTGGACTGTGGGACACGCAGACTTGCCGTGACCTTGTCTAGGTGTCCGTGACGACTGGCCGCGAGAGATTTCTCAACCTCGCAGCTGTGGTTTCCGCGGGGGTAACCGTTTTGCCTTCCAACAAAACAGGCAAGAAGTCCCAATCGTCGTTTCTCATGACGACCCACGGCGGAAAGACCGTCAATACATTCCCGTCTTTGGTAATTCTGCCTGTGACACCAGTGGAAGTAGGACGGGGAGGGGCATTGGGAGCGTTGGTAAGAAGAAGGATGATGGGGAAGTTGCTCTTGTTGTTTTTCGTATGCATTGAGCCTTTCGCAAGGTCCAAATCGATGGGCGAAAAACAGGTGCGGATCTCACTATTTGCTCGGAGACAAAATGTTGGAAGATATATTGCACAAGCGAGGAAAGTATCCTCGTTGTCCATCGCGTGTGAGTCGAATCGCGAGTACAACCAGCAGTTTCGCATGTCCGCTTCTGCGTTCCCTGGTGTCTGTTGTAAGAGTCTTGTGTGTCCAATTTCGGCCAATCCGCGACGGTGTGGTGCCTCCAGGACAATCTAGGTATTATTGGCATACACCACATCGCCAAATACTGCTTCCTACAAGCTAAAACCGATCGAGGAACGAGAGACAACCCTATGTATACTAAGCTCTGAGCAGCACGCACAATATGCTCCCGTCGGCCTTTCTTGTCGTCCCACGTCCCATAGCTCCTTGTGTTGTTGTTGCCCATACCCACCTAACGAACGCTGCATCCGACCGAGTCGTACCCCAGGCCAACACACGCAAAGACCCCGACCCTGCGCATAAGACGGAACCAGCGGTTCTTGCCGTAACCATCCGGACTGCGTCCGTTACCACCGTCGCCCCGGCCGCTCCCGTAACGACCGGAGTGGAAGATGACCCGATCCACGGAACGGATTCCGTACCCTTTGCTGCCACCGCGCCTGCCATCCCGTGACGACCGGAGCAGAAGAGAACTCGAAGCGCGGAACGGATTCTCCGTCCACTACCTCCGCCGCCGCTGCCGTTGCCGTGACGACCGGAGCAGAAGAGGACCCGATCCACGGAACGGGTTTTGCACCCTTCGCCACGGCCACCGCCGCCGTTCCCGTGGCGATCGGAGCGGAAGAGAACTCCAACCACGGGACCAATTATGCGTCGGTTACCGCCGCCGCCTCTGCATTCCCGTGAATACCTGGGTGGAAGAGGACTCCAACCACCGAACGGATTCTGTGTCCACGCCGCCGCCGCCGTACCCGTGACGACCGGAATCGAAGAGGGAGCACACGGCGGGTCGGGATTTTCTCCCACTAACGAGACGTCCGTAAACACGGTGATGTCGATTCCCGATTTACCGGTGAGGCTGCCGGCGGAGGTGCTGGGGGACGGCTCTTGGTGTTGTTCCGCGTGGTTTCTGTGGTGTTGGAACCCAGGTGGGGGTGCTATCATGAGCCACCCCTGCTAAAACCATGATTTTCATGGTTGAGGATCGCAATAGTGCTATGTTGCACACACACGTGTTTCGGCTGCCCAAGCCAGGTCACTCCGACATTTTTTTCCGCCACCTGCCAGTACGTAGGTGATACCCCCCAGTTGAAATTTACATCTACACGACCTGAGAAAGTCGTCTGTTCCCGTGTCCTCGGCTCTAACAGCTTCTTGGCATGCAGAGTTGTTGTGGAACTCACGTCGTCAGCTCCCTTCCAAGCGGGAACCCGCCTGATGAGTTCTTCGGCGGGTGCTCCACCTTCAACGTTAGGTGGTCGCGCGTCAGGCCAGGCAGCAGCCTCGCCTCGACGGTTGCCTGGGGTAACGAAGGGGCCGAAGGGGGGCGTGTGTGTGAAAAGTTTGTAATATCCCACCACACGAAGTGCCATGTACTGTGTGGGGAGCTTGGGGAAATGCTCAATGCACATGACAAACAACAACTAACAGCAATATCCCCATCATGATTGTGTCATTGCAGGTGTTGCTTGTCAATAACAGAGCCATTCGACAAGGTCCTACATAGTCGATGATCACAAAGCAGGCACGGATTTCAATACAGGCCAGTAGCCCAAAATGAGATAAGCGTATCACACGCAGAGGAGGTATATGCATCACACAGGAGAAGAGAGGAAGACTTCCTCGTTGTCCATCGCGTGTGATTCGAATCGCGGGTACACACAACGGTCTCGAATGTGCGCTTGTGCATTCCCTGGTATCTGTTGTAAAGTATAGTGTGTCCGATTTCTGCCCTTCCGCGACGGTTTAGGGTCATTGTATATCCCCAGGACAACGAATAGCAGCTATCTTTGGATCCACCATCTCTCCAAATACTTCTTCCTACAAGCTAAACCCGATCGCAGAATGGGGGACAGTCCTACGGTCTGCCTAATCCCTCACGGTACGGTTAACATACACCCGCCCCCCCTTTTCTGCCAACTCGTGCCCCGCAACTCCATGTGTTGTTGCCCACATATATCTACAGTAGCGAAGGATGCATCCGGCCGCGTCCCTCGGCAGAAAAACATGCACGAAGAGTGAAAACAGTACCTGCAGAAGGGACCACACTCTCGTCCCGTAGCCACCAAGGTTGAACGTGATGCGCGTTTCACCGCCTAACTGTTGATGCTGGTCCGTGACGCAGAAACTGTTGGTGCGGGTCCGTGACGCTGCAACGGACCAGTACCCACAATTCAACGGTGAGGATCGACCCACCTTCACCGTTGGGAGCTACTGGGAAGAGGGCTAGGCGTCTCCTGCGGCGATGGTTCGCGTTCATCGTGATACAGGGAGGTCGATTTCCTACATGCCAACGGTGAGATTCCCGCTGGAGGCGCCGGGCGACGACTCCGGGTGTGGTTCCTTTTCTGTGGGAGGATCCGAAGGTGTGTGTTATTCGGAGCCGCCCTGGTCGATCTGTGCGTGCGTTTCTGGGTTGAGGCCTCGTGTTAGCATGTATGCTGCCGACGCTTTCCGGCTGCCGAAGTCAGGTCATTTGGACAGCTTCTACCGCCACCCGCCACCTCATCATCGATACCCTACGGTTGAGATATAAGCCGACCCGACCTAGCAAAAGAGGTATACTCTCATGCCCCTGGCTGCGGTACTTGTTTATTCAACAACCGGCACCTGCTGTTGCCACTGGCGCTCCCCTCTCCCGTCAGGAATACGAAGATTGGAGCATCGAAGAGCAACGAACGGCCACCATGACCAACACCCCTCACCGTTTGCGACGCGGCAAGCCCATCGACTGCAGAACCGTTCATGCCCAGGACAGTTCAGGAGGTCCCATTGGGGGCAGGAGGGATCGTGGAGTGAACTCACAACACAACTACGAGAGTCCCGACAAGGATGATCCGTAGTCGCTTGTGAGTTCCCTCGACGCCCCTCGGTCTGTCCGGGGCTTGACGGGTTCTGCCGTCGATGGGAGTTTTTCCTCGTCGCAAAAGGTGGTGTTGGGATGGGTGAGGTCGGTCGCTGCGGCCGCATTCTCGTCTGTCTCGGGCGTGACGGGTAGTGCGGCGATGAATGCGGGAAGAAGGGAGACGGGGAGGCTTGACCGGCCTTGGTCTCTGCAGGTCGTGTGCGCCACCACAAGTCATTTCTTCTGGGCGGTCGACAGTAGCAAATTCTGCTCTGGCTGTATTTCTGTGTGAGTATATATTTCTCCTATATAATACTTTGAAGTAAATAGTTCTGCGGAGAGCCCGACTATCGTAGTTCTCGTAGGGCTTACACCGCAACTTGCTTCTCTTTGGCGTGATTGGGGCGCTTTGATACCGTGCGGTCATGCAATTAGGTGTGTGCGCCCTCTGCCGTGTTGAAATATCGCGGATTGGGGTATGTTCATCGGCTCAAGAGCTTGTTTTTTCATCCTAGTTGAACGTACAATTGCTTTGATAACCTTGAATGGAAACGCCGCCGCTGCCCCTGATGGATGGATATTGCTGACGTTGAAGAGGTCGGCCTTGCCATAGAGGAATGGCGCAGCCATGAGAATCAGAATAGCCGTTGATTGTTCGGTCGAGGGCCGACATTCCAGCATCAGGAGACGGCTAATCACCATGTCATGAACATCCTAGCTGCTCCTGTGGGCCGCCGTCATGGCTTTTGGTCATTTCGGATGAAAGGAAAAATTGAGACCGTAGTGGTGCGCCCAGATCAGGAGCGGGACTCCTCATGAGCTCTTGACCGTGTTTGATTCGGCTTTGATAAGGTCCAAATTGTGTTTGAAACACACAAGTAGTCCTTTTTCTGGTCATCATCCGGGGAGGGAACCAGTTGTTTTGGACCTTTCTTGCATCGGGGGTTGCTTCAAGCCCGTCAGGGTTGGTGTCGAGTAATTTGTCCATGTCCCGTTCCCAAGCGGATGAATATTAGGGAGTAGGGCGCAATCGTTCCAGTGTGGCGAAGTAGGACGTCACCATGGTAAGGACTCACCGTCTTACTGCAGCAGCAGCAGCCTGAAATGTGGCCACCTTGCTCGTTGTCTCTGCGCTACCCTCTCTGGCACGCCAAGACTCTCTTTGAGAACACCGTATTTCGACGGAGTGGTAGAGTACAACTCCTTCTCTCGTTCGGGGACGCCCTTGGACTACGAAATTCTCCAAGCGCACCCCAAACAAAACGCAATGGCAATTCGACATGTATGTTTCAGGAACCCGGGTTGTGTTGTCTGCACTTGCTACTACGCCGTCAGCAAACAAACCTGCTCTTGGATAAATCTACCGCAAACGTATTATACGTATGTTTAAACTCTTTCGCGGCGTTCGTGTTTGTTCATAACATATATTGCGCTGGTAGCTCGGACCCTTACGCAACCATCATCGTGTGAGTTGCCCATGCTGATTTTTGTTTCCCCAGATATCCCCAAGTCCCCGCATTGTAGCGCCTGCTGGGACCCCGGACATGCGGTGAAAGCAAAACAAAGACAGCAATATAACACCGCTTCTCGTCTTGGCCCAGCTCGTTGTTGTTATTTTTTCGATGGAGTCATAATAAGCTAATGAATACTACACGACACATATCTGAAGGGTTTCATAGCTTCGCATCTGCAAATTCTGGGCTACCATCTCGCTCGGTGTTTTTTGGTGAAGGTGATATGGGCAGCGGTGGTGATGATCGTCGTCGTACTACCAATCGTCGCCCCCACCGGAGGGGGGCATCCTTCCGTGGCACTCTTCACATCCGACATCTCCAAGGATGTTCATCCCCTTCGCCAGTGTAGCCTAGTTTGCTCCTAAACGAGATGTGCCCCTCGCCGGGTGGTGATCGCGAAAGGCTAGTGGGTGAATAAAGCTCAGTTTGACAGATACGAAGTTCGAATAACCTGCGGTGAGACACAGAGGGGGCGTCGCGCTCCTGACCTGGGCGTATCATACGGCTTGAATTCATCTTTCATCCGAACTAACAACGGTGTGACAGCCGCCCACAGGAGCAGGTAGGATAAACACATGATAGTGTTGTGGCATCTCCTGCTGCTGAAATGGCGGCCCGTGACCATCGCACGAACCCTGATCGGTCTCGTTCCCGTGATCACACCATGCCTCTGATAGAAAGACCGACTTCTTCGACGTCAGCATTATCCCTCCATCCGGAAGGGGCGCCGTTGAATATTTAGGTTACGAAGGACTACTGTAGGGTATCCACGAGATCAAAACAAATTTGCTCACGCAGGTACACCTCCATCAGTGGTGTTGATAACGACAGTAAAGGGTACCCGTACATGCTTGCATGACCGCATGGTGTCAAAACCCGTCACAATATCCCTCCACCCGGAAGGGGTGCCGTTGAATACTTAGGTTACGAAGGCCTACTGTAGCGTATCCATGAGGTTAAAAAACATCAGCCCACGCAGGTACACCTCCATCCGTGGTGTTGGTAACGACAGTATAGAGTACCCGCACATGCTTGCGTGTCAAAACGCGCGAATCGCCCCAAAGAGAAGAAAAACGTTGTAAAGACCAGAAAAAGTGTAACAGTCGGACACCGCAGGATGACAACGCTGCCAGGGAAACAGTGTTTCGATCGCACAGAAGCAGCGACTTGTGGTGGCGTGATCGGCCGCCAGAGATCAACAATCACCCCCACCCGTGTTCCTCCCCCGAACCATCTTCGCTGTCCGTGCTCAAGTAGTCTGCTGTGAGGACCCTCCATTTCCCTTGCTTCACCCGTTCGAACGGCTGCTCTGTCTTGGGCGTTACGGGCGCGGCGGTCGATGTGCTGCGTGTGTTGCCAACGGTGGTGTCAGGCGGGGAGGGGTCGGTCTTGGTGGCCGGTCGATTGCGGTGGATCTGAGCTTCCTGTGCGGCTCGCTGCTCCTCGTACTCCTGGCGGGAGCGGGAGCCCACGTCGCGAGAAGGAGTGTTGGCGGTGGAATACGTAGTCACGATAGCAGAGCCGGGGGCGCGGGAACGGACGTCTTTGTGAGGTCGTGTAGGCGTAAATTTCTACTGGGGGTATCAGCTACGTAGCGGCGGGTGGCGGCAACAATTCTCCTCCAAGTGACCTGACATGGGCAGCCGGAACGCTTGTGTGTGTGCAACAAAGCACTAATGTGGTTCTCAACCAAGACAAACATGGTTTTCGCGAAAGGGTCGGCTTATGATAGTACACAAAGCTGGGTTCCAACACTACAGAAACCACGCGGAACGACACCAACATGCGCCCCCCAGCGCCTCCGCCGGCCGTCTCACCGGTAAATCGGGGATCGACATCACCGTGCATGCCACGGACGTCTGGTTGGCGCTAGAAAATCCCGCCCCGTCGTGTGATACCGCTTCGATTCCGGTGGTCGTCACAGGAACGGCAGAGGCAGCGGCGGCAACCAGCGCAGAAACCGTTCCGTGGGTCGGGCCCTCCTCCGCTCCGGTCGTCACGGACACGGCAGCAGCGGCGGCAGCGGTAACGTACCCAGAAACCGTTCCGTGGGTCGGGTTCTCTTCCGTTCCGGTGGGCACGGGAACGGCAGCGGCTGCGGCGGCGGTAACGGGTGCAGAATCCGTTCCGTGGATCGGGTTCTCTTCCGTTCCGGTGGGCACGGGAACGGCAGCGGCGGCGGCGGCGGTAACGGACGCAGCCGGGATGGCTACGGTAGGAGTCGCTGGCTTCTCCTGCTGCGGAGGGTCCGGGTAGGACGCGGTCGGATGCAGCCGTCGTTAGGTGTTTGTGGGCAACAACAACACATGGAGCTATGGAACGCGGGACGTCATGAACTAGGGGGACGGGGGCATATTGTACGTGCTGTTGAGAGGTTAGATTGCGTAGGATTGTCTCTCATTCTGCGATCGGTTCTAGCTTGTAGGAAGGAGTATTTGGCGATGTGTGGTATGCAAAAAGGGCTATGCGTTGTCCTGGAGACATGCAAGGGTACTAAACCGTCGCGGAATGGCACAAATTGAACACTATTACAACAAATTCTAGGAAGCGCAAAGCGGACATGCCAGACCGTTTCGTGTACTCGCGATTCGACTCACATGCGATGGACAACGAGGAAGCCTTCCTGTCTTGTTTGTGATGCATATACCTCCTCTGCGTGTGATATATCTACCAATACGTTGTCGACGGGCTAGTGATTTCTGTACCTTGTTTGTGACCATCGGTTAGGGCCTTGCGAAAGGCTCAATATATACGACAAACAACAACATCAATATCCCCATCACCCTTCTTCTTACCAATTCTCCCGAAGCCCCTGCCCTTCGTTCTGTCAATGTTCTCACCGGCGGAATCCGCAGGAAAGGGAGCGCATCCACCGTTTTGCCGCCGGAGGTCGTCTTGAGGAACGACGATTTCACCTCTTGCCTGTTTAGTTGGAGGCACAACGGTTACCCCCGGGGAACGTACAGCTGTGAGGTTGAGAAATTCCTCCCGGCCAGCATCCTCGGACATCTAGACCGCATCAAAGCAAGTTCGCATGTCCCACAATGTCAAATTTGTCTACCTCACTCAGCAGCACCTGCATCGAAAGATGAAAGACACCTCCCAAGGTTGTGTGCAGCTGATTGGCATGGAGGGCTGGTTCGGAACTCACCTCGTCGCCTCGCTTCCCACCGAGAACCCGCCCGACGAACCATTAGGCGGGTGCTCCACCTTCAACGGGTCACCCCGCGTCAGGCCAGGCAGCGGCCTCGCCTCGACGGTCGTCTGAGGTACCGAAGGGCCGAAGGGGCAGAAGGCGCAGAAGGGCGTGTGTGCGACGAAAACGTTAGAACTTCCCAACGAGCGAAATACCATGGACAAGGAGCCTGGCGAAAGGCTCAATGCGCATGACAAACAAACACAGCAACGACCCCATCATCCATATTCTTACCAATGCTCCGAATGCCCCTCCACGCCGTCCTGCCAATGGCCCCACCGGCGGAATCGGCAGGAATGGGAGCGCACTGACGGTCTTGCCGCCGGAGGTCGGCTTGACGAATGACGATTGTGTCTCTTGCCTGTATAGTTGGAGGCGAAACGGTTACCCCCGGGGAAAGTCTGGCTGTGAGGTTGAGAAATCCCTCGCGGCCAGCATCGTCACGGACACCTTCTGTAGACCGCGTCACAGCAAGTTTTTCATGTCCCACAGTTCATACGTGGTGTCAAGTTGGTCTACCTCACTTAGCAGAACCTGCATCGCAAGATGAACGACGGCTCCCAAAGGTTGTGTGCAGCTGGTTGGCATGGAAAGTTGTTGCGGAACTCACCTCGTCGCCTCCCTTCCAAGGGAGAACCCTGCCGACGAACTCTTAGGTGGGTGCTCCACCTGGATCGTCCGGAAATCCCGCGTGAGACCAGGCAGCGGCCTCGCCTCGATGGTCGTCTGAGGTACCGAAGAGACGGGAGGTCGTTTGCAAGGCCCCAACGTGCGAAAAAGCGGGTGGGATACATCGTCAAGAGCCAGTTGTTTTCCCATCGAGTCCATCGTCGTATGCATGCCTCGGGTGAATGAGGGCCGGTCAAACATGTCCCCGAACGGAGACGGGCGGATGATAACCGGCAAGGTCGGCTAAAGGCTGGTCACGCCAACGATTTCGCACGTAATAGCCTAGTCTGCACTCACACGAGTCATCAGTCATCCTCACCTGTGGAATCCCCCGTTCTTGTCGCTCGTGCTGCCCTAGCGCCTCCCGCTGTTCCTGCCCCCGTGGCGAGGAGTCGCGAGGAGCGGGTAGGACACCACCGGTGTTGCGCCCCTGCCGCTTCTCTGCACTTCCAGGAAGCGCGTCCGCCTTGGCCAGTCTCCTTTGCCGGGCGATGGCCCCAACGTGCGCCCAGAAGATTGTCTTGATTACCTTCCTGCCGGAGCCCATCCGCCTCTTGCGTCCGAGGCCGCTCGCTTCAGGGGAGCACAAGAAGTCGAGCGTGTGCTCCACCCTCTCGCGAATCTGCTGCTGCGGCAACCCTGTTGAGGACCCCGGAACGTCTCTGTCGTTGCGGAGCACTGCCGACAAGGTGATGCGGCGCGCTTCGGCCTCCGTGCCCGCCATGCGAAGGGCCCGCCTAACCGTCGTGGTCAGCACCGAGGTCGTGCCCCTTCGGGGCTCGGTGGGCGTTCCCGAAGTAGCGCCGGAGTCACGGCCTGGGTACGGGGGCGGTGTCTCCGACGCATTCTTCACGGCATGAGAATCACCGAGACGTGCTAGACCTTGCCGCTGCTGCTGCTGCTGCTGCTGAAGCTGCTGCTGCTCCTGAAGCTGCTGCTGCTGAAGCTGCTGCTGCTGCTGAAGCTGCTGCTGAAGCAGCTGCTCCCGCTGCTGCTTTTGCTGCTGCTGCTGCTTTTGCTGCTGCTGCTGCTGCTGCTGTTGTGACGTCTGTTGCCTGTGTTGCAACCTCTCGTGAGATTTCGCGTGGTCATCCGCCCTCTGTTGCCGCTCCTGCTGCATTTTCTTTTGGGCTCGCCGGTCCCGCTCCTGCTCCCGCTCCTGCTCCCGCTGCCAGAGCCTGCCAAAGTATGCTTCCCGCTCCTGCTCCACCTTCTTCTTCCTCTCCCGCTCCTGTTCTTGCTGCCGCAGCTTCAGCTGCTCCAGCTCCTGCTGCCGCGCCATCTTCTTCCTCTCCCACTCCCGCTCCTCCTGCATTTTCTTTTGGGCTCGCCGGTCCCGCTCCTGCTCCCGCTTCTGCTCCCACTCCTGCTCCCGCTCCTGCTCCCGCTGCCAAAGCCCGCTAAAGTATGCTTCCCGCTCCTGCTCCACCTTCTTCTTCCTCTCCCGCTCCTGTTCTTGCTGCCGCAGATTCAGCTGCTCCAGCTCCTGCTGCCGCGCCATCTTCTTCCTCTCCCACTCCCGCTCCTCCTGCATTTTCTTTTGGGCTCGCCGTTCCCGCTCCTGCTCCCGCTTCTGCTCCCACTCCTGCTCCCGCTCCTGCTCCCGCTGCCAAAGCCCGCCAAAGTATGCTTCCCGCTCCTGCTCCACCTTCTTCTTCCTCTCCCGCTCCTGTTCTTGCTGCCGGAGCTTCAGCTGCTCCAGCTCCTGCTGCCGCGCCATCTTCTTCCTCTCCCACTCCCGCTCCTGCTGCTGCCTCTCCAGCTTCTTCTTCTCTCGCTGCTGCTGCTCTTGCTGCTCCTGCTCCCGCTCCCGCTGCAGCAGGTGCTGGTAGCCCTGCTCCAACAGCAGATCCAAATCCTGCTGTTGCGTTTTCGCCTGCTCATCCGCCTCCTGCTCCCGTCGCCGCTGCTGGTTCTCCTGTAGCTCCCGCTCCTGCTGCTGCAGCTTCTTCCGCTCCCGTTTCTGCTGCTCCAGCTTCGCATTCTTCTCCCGCTCCTGCTGCCACGCCTGGGTGACCCCAATGCAGCTCCGCTCCAACCGCTCCTGGTCCGACCGCTTCCGCGACATCGCCAGGTACTCTGGCAACCGCACCTGATCCCGCAGGCACGGGAGTTCCACCTTATTGTGCACCCGGTTGCACGCCTTGTCCATCGGCTCCTTTTTCTCCTGCCGCAACTGCTTTTGCCCCTGCTGAGCTTCTCGCTCCCGCTCCTGCTGCTGCAGCTTCTTCCGCTCCCGTGTCTGCTGCTCCTGCTTCACCTTCTTCCCCCAGTTCTGATGCAGCGCCTGGGCGTACCGATTGGGGTTACGCTCCAACCACTCCTGCTCATGCTTTTCCTTTTCCTCCTGGTCCAGTAGGTTCATCTGGGCGACTAAATAGCGGCTCCGCTCCAACCGCCGCTCCTGATCTAACCGCTTCCGCGACATCGCCAGGTGCTCCGGCAACCGCACCTGATCGCGCAGGCACGGGAGTTCCGCCGTATTGTGCACGCGGTTGCGCGCCTTGTCCATCGGCTCCTGCATCTCATGCCGCAACTGCTGCTGTTGCCTCTGCTGAGCCTCCCGTGGCTCCTGCGGTACATGGCGCCGTTGCTGTTGTTGTGGCTGCGGCTGCGCCCGCTGCCGGTCCCGAAGCCTCAAAGTCGCACGTCCGGCAAGGTGCGCCCGCCCGTGGGACGGCCCTTGCCGCTCTGGCCTTTGCTGTTCCTGCGCGTGCTCAGCCTGCATACGTGCGTCAAGAATGCCACGAATACGTTGCGCTTGTTGATACAGAGTCTCGGCTTCAGTGCGGGTAAACTCCGATCTGGCCAAATATATCTCCGATTCTACTGTACCTATGCAGCGCTGGTATGCGGGATTAGGTTTCGGCACACAAAACAATGAGGGGTGTAGCGGCAGCCTGGACCGCACATGCTGCTACAGTACTACTGTGCAGCAGTAGTACCAGTCGAGGCTCTGAGATGGGCGGCTCTCGTCCCAAACAGTCAGTTCTGGTAACGAAAACACACTTTTCGAAATACTTCAAGCTCATTTTCCGACATACCAGACTAAAACTGTACACCTGAACAAGCCAGATACGTCGGCCACGGTGCGGCCGGCGTACTACAAGGTCGGAGATGAATGAGTTCAGGTTTATAGATATACCCATCTCACCGTGGTATCGCCAGGTTCTGCTACTACTCCTCCGTCCGGGCGGGCACCCGATCGCAATCTCCTCCGCAGGCTCGAAACGCCCTGCTGGATCATCTTGGTCACCAGCCCCCTGCCAGTAATGTGCGTGGGTGTCGCAGGCAAAGTACAGCAGAAGTAGTGACCGCTATAGCAAGAAATCTGCCTGCAAGTACTGTTGATCATACAGTATCTCAGAGCCCCAGATCCTGTACATACATACAGTAGTACTGCAGTCTACGGTGACAACCTCCTGGAGGAGAGCGTTTGTTTCATACGGTTAAAATCCTCAAGAGGCATCTGATCCAGTAGACTAGCTGATCCGGGGTCTATTCTCTCAGTCTAGACAACGCCATGCTGTTCTGTCTATGTACCATGTTTGCGCGGATCGGTCTTCCTCGGTAAGTGAAACGGGGTGCGTCTCCTGTCCACACGCCCTTCGACAGCGCGATTGGCTTACCCTCTCCGTCTGACGGGTGGATGTTGGATCGCAGCAGCAACTTTGACTCTGATGCACAGCAGTAGCACGCACTCCATAGACTAGGTGGCGAACGGCGCCCAGCCTACAAGTAGCTGGGCAAGTACCCCCATCAACTCTCCTGATCCGCGCCCTTCACGCCCGCTTGATCCCCGGCCTCTGCTAGGTACATAGATAGCGTGAACCTATTGCTCACCAGATCAGCAGGCTGAAGAAGATGCTCCCAGCCAAAACAGCGGTAACAAGGAGGGCGAAGCCAACGAAGTTGCATCCATCCCACCCCCAGCATGGCGTCAGGATTGATGCGATCACCGCAATGAGAAGGCGCTCCATCCCGATCTCGAAAAACATCTTGTCCACACAGGATCAGTCGTGAAACCTTCAGGTGTGTATCTGATGTCTGATGTGCCAACCTCCTCAGAGCTGGTTGCTGCATGTCTTTTTTGGTCCCGCCGCGTTTTTTGGCTCTCCGCCGTTTTTTCTGTTTGATATCCGATGCGACCGCCTCCTTGTTTGAAACCCTGAAACCGTCAGACGAAAAGCGACAGAAAGGCTGCAGCTGCGTGTAGACTGACGTGCTGTAGACCGGACCAACTGCCTGGCGATTGGTAGTGGTGTTCTATTGTTGTGAAACAGAAACATTAGTCTATAGGTGTGCGGATATGTAGGCGTGTAAGTATCGAAAGAGATTCACTGAAAAAGGAGGTTTATTTTGTTTTCTTTCGAATTGCTTCATTATTTCTTCGGTTTCTAGGCTACGTGTTGGGGAGAGAGACGCACGAAACGCTCATCGTCTCTCCGGCCGCGTTAGCTGCAAAGGCCGGCGTCAACTCTTACAAATCCATCTCTCTCCCCACAAATACTAGCCGGGGGACTACGACTGCAAACGCAGGAGTCCCAAAACTGACCAAGTCCTCAAATGGTACACACCATTCTACAACACCTGACTAGATACCGAATATTCCCGAACTTATGCCCCCACCTTCGAAAGAAAAGGGATGGGAGGGCGGGATTTTCTAAACTGCCGCCGCTACTGCGTTAGGCGGCTGCTGCTGTCCTTCCGTTGCTTCACGCGCTCTGTAGCTGTCACACGTTACCCGACTTTGCTACAGCCCCTGCGTGGACTCGATCACGGAATGACACCCCCAACTATAGACTAATAATTCCAAACACCGTGACCCTGGGTTTCCGGTAGAAAATGAAGCCAAATTCTAATTCGACTGTTACAAAATAAACACCAGTTTATTCTATCTGCTTCGACGAACAAACCTTCCTTTTATTTTGTTTTCTTTCGAATTGCTTCATTATTTCTTCGGTTTCTAGGCTACGTGTTGGGGAGAGAGACGCACGAAACGCTCATCGTCTCTCCGGCCGCGTTAGCTGCAAAGGCCGGCGTCAACTCTTACAAATCCATCTCTCTCCCCACAAATACTAGCCGGGGGACTACGACTGCAAACGCAGGAGTCCCAAAACTGACCAAGTCCTCAAATGGTACACACCATTCTACAACACCCACATCGAGGTCAGTTTCTGGACGACTACCGAATAAGTCAACTATCCGTTCCCCCAGACGGTCCCCTCCCCCGGCTGTCTCGATACGATCCTACTGCCGTCTGTAAGTTTCCGTGACACTCGCCGCGAATCCTCTACATTGTTTCGCGCGTACGGCTTGTATGCATCCGACCTCCACTTCCCTTCTCTCTGAATCACTCGTTCTGCGATGTCTCCGCCCGATGCAAGAGCCGTCGCGCCTCCAATTCGCAACGAGTGCAACGCGTACTCCTGGGGGTTACGCCCCGACCTCGCTACCACTTCTCTGAGTGCACGGAGGGCAGCAGTATACCTCACTACTCTCACTGCTCTTCCACTACGGTACGAAGCCAACGGTGCGGAGTCAGGGAACGTCGCATGACACGATAACAGCTCCACCACAAGAGCCACCGCGCCACCGCGTGCTCTCACACCTGACTGCGGTCCGGTGACTTCGTCTCGCGTACGAACCCGTATGTTTCCTTTCTGCTCTTGATCGGCCTTGTGCCCTCTAAACCTCATTTCGACACGGTCTGCTCTACGATAGTGACTAAAGACTAATTGCGTCTCGCCAGCAAACAATGCTACGTCCGCCCTCGTAAGACAGTGTGCCTCATGCACCCTGCCCGCATCATTCGCGAACACCTCATCAGACCGTGTGATAAAGAGATAGGACAAGCACAGACACAGCCACATCACTCTGCCCCCTTCCCCCCAGTTCTGGCTTGCGCTTTCCCCGTCCAGCAGCATACGCCAAGGCACAGGCAGGCGCACACGGCGTACCGTCCCCACAGCCACGTGGTTCCTCGCAATCCCCCTTAGCGCACATTTCAACATCGGAGACGACAAGTCTAGCTCGACAGAAGCTTCCAGCCTATGAAAATGTTGTACAGCCGTGAGTTTTCCGGATATTGTACTCGCTAGATTACCCTCAGACTCGAAACACCAGGCTACGAAGTCTATCAACTCCCACACATGAAGGTCCCCGGCACGTTGCCCTAGGAACTTGGGCTTCTCCGTCAGCCTGCGAAACGTGCACCAAGAGTTGAAGCCTGACGTGTAAGTCCTTCTAGACGAAGACGCAACTGAGTGCTCGACGAGCTGCATGCCAAGACGTCGGTAACAAAGTCCCGTCCTGCCTGTCCCAGGTCCTGAACCTGCTGATAGCCCTGGAGCCAACCTCGTGTAGACCGGCGTGCTGCCTTGTCCTGAACCTGCTGATAGCCCTGGAGCCAACCTCGTGTAGACCGGCGTGCTGCCGTTCGATTTAGCCGCAGGTGCGCTGCCATCCGAGGTAGGCCCCCCCGCTACGCGGGAGAGCCCGCACCCCTATTTGTCTTTCCCGTGGGTGAAGAAGCCAGCGGCCTTGGGTCTCGCGCCGCCCTCGCCAGCGGCGCGCGCCTCTCCTCCGCGCCCTCCCCCGTTGCCGTGGCCAACGCCGCGCGCGCCGGTTGCCGGAGTTTCGGACGCTCCGCGCCTAGCGTGGGAAGGGTTCTGGGCGTGGATGTGTGGGCAGTTACGATCATGGCAACCGGACGACGAGTTGAAGGCGAAGCAGTAACCACGAGCGTGTCGAGCGATGCCGCCACTTTCTCTGTCACCAGGACGCCTTTGCGAAGCAAGGATTGCCACTCCATCTGCGACAGTTTTGAAACTGCCGGGGGCCGCCCCAGGATGAGCCACGCTTTTACCCGGCGGAGGTCCCCCCACATCCGCGCTCTATCCTTTGCCGTAGCCTTAGCCGCCTCGGCGCTGGGTGTAGCGGGGGCCCGAGAGGCCGATGGTGGGGCGGTTGTGCCCACAAGTTGCACCCCCCCCCGGAAGGGCAGGTCCTGCTGCTTGGGTGGCGATCAGGTCGTCGATCGTTGCTTGAAGCTGCTGGCGATCACCGGCAGCCTCATCGCGCTTCCGCTGCAGCTCCTCCCTCAGGCCGTCCACCAGCCCGCGGAGAGAAGCGAGCTCAGTCTCATCAGCGGGGGGGTCGCCGCGGGTGCCTGTCCCTGGCGCTCGCGAGGAGGATACCGCTCGACGCCTCGCGGGAGTACGTGATCCGCTGCGCGTCGAGGGGCGAGCCGTCGAGCTCGCCACCGATCGCGCGGTAGACCTCTCGTGCGTGGTGTCGAAGGTGTCGCCGCCCGACCTCGCCCTGCTTGCCCAGCCGCTGCCCTGCCGCTCCGCGTGGAGGCCCGTGTCGGCATCTGGTCGCGGTTGGAGTCGTATAAGCAGCGGACCGGCGGCAGGCGGCGGGCGAGCGTCAGGGCGGCGTTGCGGGAACACTTCTTTTCCTCTTCATCGTGGGCGTAGTCGATCGCGCGCCTGGATCTGCAGTTAGAAATGGTCTACAAATCCTATCTTCGGGCGAAACTATCTGACGTGGGTTTTCGTCGGGCCCAGAACGACGCGTTGTTATATCGCGAGCTCGCGTTAGTTCATTCTCGACGCCTGTGGATTGAATGGAGTGATTATTGCTGCTGACGCTACGGTCACCGGACGTCGACCAATCCCGAATATTTCTCTCTTTGGAACACTAGCGATGGTTTCTCTTTTTTTTTTTTTTTATATATATATTTTCTTGGATTCGGTGAACCCCGGTTCGCCATCGGCACGGGTGCTTCCACTCATTGGCGCGTCCCGTGCTGATACGTGTTTTTTTTTTTTTTCGATGCGTTGGATACGGTGAACTCCACTTGCCAACAGCGCGGGTGCTTCCACTCATTGGCGCGTCCCTCGCTGAAACTGACAACACATATGCAGCACGGGTGCTTCCACTCATTGGCGCGACCCGCACTGATGATACTTGTACGCAGCGCGGGTGCTTCCACTCATTGGCGCGTCCCTTGCTGAAACTGACAACACATATGAGCACGGGTGCTTCCACTCATTGGCGCGTCCCGTACTGATACGTGTATGACTTCGTTTTCGATGCGTGGAGATCGGTTAATTCTACTCGCCCAACAGCACGGGTGCGCCCACTCATTGGCGCGTCCCGTACTGATACGTGTACGGCGTTTTTGTTCTTTCTTTTTGAGATCGGTTAACTCTACTCGCCAACAGCACTCATTGGCGCGTCCCTTGCTGAAACTGACAACACATATGCAGCACGGGTGCTTCCACTCATTGGCGCGTCCCGTACTGATACGTGTACGACTTCGTTTTCGATGCGTTGAATTCGGTTAACTCTACTCGCCAACAGCACGGGTGCGTCCACTCATTGGCGCGTCCCGTGCTAATACGTGTACGGCGTTTTGTTCTTTCTTTTTGAGATCGGTTAACTCTACTCGCCAACAGCACGAGTGCTTCCACTCGTTGGCGCGTCCCGTGCTGAGGCTGACAACACATATACAGCACGGGTGCTTCCACTCATTGGCGCGTCCCGTACTGATGCATGATTTGTGGTATTTCCTACCGCTGCGTTGAATTCGGTTAACTCTACTCGCCAACAGCGCGGGTGCTTCCACTCATTGGTGCGTCCAATGCTGATACGTGTACGGCGTTTTGTTCTTTCTTTTTGAGATCGGTTAACTCTACTCGCCAACAGCACGAGTGCTTCCACTCATTGGCGCGTCCCGTGCTGAGGCTGACAACACATATGCAGCACGGGTGCTTCCACTCATTGGCGCGTCCCGTACTGATGCATGATTTGTGGTATTTCCTACCGCTGCGTTGAATTCGGTTAACTCTACTCGCCAACAGCGCGGGTGCTTCCACTCATTGGCGCGTCCCGTGCTGATACATGTACGGCGTTTTGTTCTTTCTTTTTGAGATCGGTTAACTCTACTCGCCAACAGCACGAGTGCTTCCACTCATTGGCGCGTCCCGTGCTGAGGCTGACATCACATATGCAGCACGGGTGCTTCCACTCATTGGCGCGTCCCGTACTGATGCATGATTTGTGGTATTTTTCTACCGCTGCGTTGAATTCGGTTAACTCTACTCGCCAACAGCGCGGGTGCTTCCACTCATTGGCGCGTCCCGTGCTGATACATGTACG